TTTCTCCTACTGTCTTTTTCTCTTTTCCTCTCGCTGTTATTCTCTCTGTTGCTCTTTTACTTGCTCTCTCTATCACACACAAAACTCTCTCTCTTTCTCTTACTCTATTCTTCTCTTTTCCTCTCTCTATTATTCTCTCTATTGCTCTTTTACTTGCTCTCTCTCTGTCATTCTTTCACCCTTGCACACTTATTTCTTATTTTTATCTTTATTTGTTATTCTCTCTCTCCCTCTATCTCTTACTTTCTCTTACGTCTTTTTATCTTTTCCTCTCGCTAAAATTCTCTATATCACCCTTTCACTTTCTCTCTTTCTCTGTCACACACTCTCTCTCTATCTTGCTCTATTTTTCTCGTTTCATCTTGCTGTTATTCTCTTTTTTTTCTTTTACTTGCTATGTTTCTCTCTCCTCCTCTCTCTTATACTTCTCTCTCCCTTTTTTCTCTCGTACTCTTTTTCTCAATTCCTCTCACTATTATTCTCTGTATTGCTTTTACTTGCTCTCTCTCTCTTTCTCTCTCTTTTCTTTTCCTCTCACTGCTATTCTCTCTATTGCTCTTTTTCTTGCTCTCTCTCTCTCTCGACTCTCTCACTCTTTTTTCTTTTCCTCTCACTAGTATTCTTTGTATTGCCCTTTTACGTGCTCTCTCTCTCTCTTTTTTCTTTTCCTCTCACTGCTGTTCTCTCTATTGCTCTTTTACTTGCTCTCTCTCCCTCTCTCTCTCTCTCTCTCTCTCTCTCTCTCTCTCTCTCTATGTCTCGCTCTCTCTCTCTCTCACACACACATCTTTTTTCTTTTCCTCTCACTGTTATTCTGTCTATTGCTCTTTTACTCTCTCTCTCTCTCTTTCTCTCTCTCTTTTTTCTCTCTCTGTCTCTCACTCTCCTTTTTATTTTCCTCTCACTGTTATTCTCCCTATTGCTCTTTTACTTGCTCTCTCTTTCTGACACTTTCTTTCACCCTTGCACACTTCATCTTTTATTCTCTCTCTCTCTACCCCCCCTCACTTTTTCCCTGTTTTGTCACAGAGCGTAGTCCCTTGGCTCAAGCTGAAATAAACTCAAGCTTTTGTATGATTCTATTGAGCAATCTTAAGGATTTGCTATCAGTGTCATTGTGTGATATATTGCTTTAATTGACTGTGATAGAATGCTGTAATTGGGCTTGCCAGCATGGAGCCAGGCGAGCGTAGCTGTGTGCAGATAGAATACCTTGGGGAGAGAGAAAGAAAGATAGAGAGAGGGAGGGATAGATGGAAAAAAAGCGAGTATGGAAATGGAAGTCCTCTGGAAGGCCTGTCTAGACCGTGTGCTGGCTGCGTGGACACGTACAGTGGGCTTTTCAGCACATGTGTGTGTTTATCTCTCTCTGAAGTGGAGCATATGGGTTGAACTCGAGCTGAAGCCAAAGGGGTGGAGTCAACCAAGACCATCTACCTAAAAGCAAGTCAGCACTTCATCACATGTTTTTAACAGCATGATCACATACACACAGGTTTGTTTTCATACAATGTCACGACATGGGGTCATACACATATCTCATATGTACAGTACTGTGCAAAATTTATTAAAGCTGCTATTTTCAGGAGACTTGCTTTCAGTTTTTCAAAGAAACCTGCAGGCACATTTCTCCACACCTACAAAGTTCAGTTTTACAAGTTGGTTGCACTTTCTACTTCCCACAATATCCCTAAACACATTTAGTGATGTTAAGCTCTGAAATCTGGGGTGGTCACCTTGAGTCTGTTGTAAGAACACTAGCAGCTTCTTAGTTTGAAGAAGAATTTTTTGGTCTGTTTCCTTTTTTTGGAAGCGTTTATTTTTACTTTCCCCTTCCTTATGCAAGTTAACTATCCTTTATCGAATCTTCTGTAAAATATATCCTAAAATGAATACATTTTAATAATTTTAAGTAATATAAATATTTCCCACATATCCTGTATGTAAGCATCTATATGTAGTGTAGTTTGTAAAAAGCACTTTACAAAGTCAGTTATTTTGTTGCTCCTCTAGGTTAACCTTGTTTTTCTCTGTTTTTCACACACACACACACACACACACACACACACACACACACGCGCACACACACACACACACACACACACACTTTATTATTATCTTGTCTTTTATTCTCTAAGTCATGGCTGATCCTTGTTTAGTTTGTGTAGATGTTTAGTTTTCTATGTCATTTGAGCACAGCAGCTGTCCTTTACATTGTGAAAATCTTTACAAATTGAAAATTTCATGATGAATGGGCCAATAGAAATTCTTCAGAATTACTTGAAATACAATGTCTTTACATTAACTTACATTAAAAGTAAAGAATGTTTTTGGCCTCTCCTGTAAAGTTACCTTTCTGGAAATACTCGACAATATATCTACTCACCCGCTACAGTACAGTTAAAGACTGTAGCCCATCTGTTGATGCGTTTGTGTTTGTTGTCATCAGTGGTCAGTTTCTGACCCCAGAGCCAATCTTGGTTGGATATTTTTGGGTAGTGAATCACTCTCAATCTAGCAGAGGCACTGATGTGTGTAAACCCCCCAGAAACACTGCTGTATCTGATACACTTGTACCAGCACCTCACACGCTACCATGTCAGTGTCGCTGCTGTGTTGAGACTACTCAAATAATATCTATTCAGCAGTGTCCCTGTGGTCAGAAACTGACCAATGATGAAAGGGATAGATGGGGTAGACAGGTGTGGTGGAAGGCATCAACAAATGGGCTATAGTCAGTAGTTGTGCACCAATATAGCGGACCTAGGTAGAAAGAGCTCAGAGAGTGAATATAAAAAAACAAGGCAAAATATGTAAAGAGCCACAAAACAAGACTGTACACACAATAACTTTTCATCAAATTGAAAACAAAATAAAATGTCTCTTCTACTACTTAAAAACGAATGTGGTATGGATGAAAGAATCCACAGAATTCCTCCACTTGTTTCAATGAGCTATGAGTGAGAAATAATTCATATTGAATTACAGTGTGCTTTCGCTGGTGTCAGTAATAACTGCAACACCTAAAGGTTAAGCTGGGTTAAAGTTAGTGTGATGTGGTATCTTTATCTGTATAATATGACAGTATACATGTAAAGTAAGAAGCGGTGTAGAGTAGTGTTGGTCAGTTGGAGCATGATCTGCATGTCTCCCGTGACGCACAGCGGTGTGTTATATAAACAGAGGAAAGTGGACACCGAAATTGAGCAAGAGCACCATGTGTGAAAATATGGAGAGCACATTTGGAGAGGCTTTCAGATATCAATCAGGACAGGGTGTGAAAGATATGTGTTGGCAGAGGTGTGGTGGAAGGTTTAATTTTGGAAAGGGCTGTTGTAATATTTTTTCTGTTCTTTCTTTCTTTTTGTCTTGTGTTTCTTTTTTCTGCTTGAGGCCTTCAAATTTTTATGAGCTGAAATTTTTCTTCCTAAAATGTAAAATGTGGGATGTGCGTATCAATACAGCGTGGAGTTTTATGTGGATATCTTTATCAACAAAGAAAGCTTTGTCTCTCCACCTCTAAAACCTGTGCTGCACAAGTCAAATAAAAAGAAGCCTGTCTGTGTTGTAAATCAAGGCTGCTTTCACTGCCAAAATCTGCCCTCTGTCTTCTACACATGCACAGCCGTGTCAAAGTAAAATTTGATAGTTAATAATGTGGCTTAAAGCTCTCCGGCACAGTGCCGGAATTCCGGCGTGGGGCCGGGCTGTTTTAGATTAAATGCATTTATAACACGAGAAGTTAAGCTCCTAAAATCTGATTGGCTGAGCTGTTGCTGTTGTAAAATACTCGATATAAGCACACCTATGACCACCTCACAACAACTGAATTCTGTATTACTGCACCACCACACTCCTGTGCTATTAAAGCGCCATTATGTGAGAATTGGAAGTTTTTGCTCGTGGCCTCCCCCTCCAGGTGTATGTCACTTATACAGCACTGTCAGAAATACAAATCGTGCTTTAAGCCCCCCTCATGTATGCTGCTCACATGGACCTCTAAGAGTAATGATGCAGTAAGAACCCATTTTTGTTTAAACTGACAGGCTGACAATATATTTTCTTAAGTAGAACAAGGCTGTTCGGCTAGCTAGCTAACAGGCAAAAAGATAGCAAGCTGGCTAAATTTAATTACTTATGATATGATTCACTGTAAAACATCAATATAAAAGACTAAAGAATGTCAGTTAAATGGCTTACATGCTTCGAATGTCTGTGTTTCAGTCAAATCTACCTTAAGCAACACCAGGCTGAATCTCAAATGGCTCCATACTTCCTAAATAGTGTGCTATTGAAGTTAGCTTAGTGCTAAATAAGACTTGAGGCGGTAATTTGGTGTCCAGAAAGTGTTTATACCGAACTAAATTCATAGCAAAGTGATAAATCCTTATTATTTGTTCATTGTTAACATAATAAATAAAAATAAACATGAAGAAACGTGAAGAATGTCAATATTAAACCGTGAAAGAGAGTCGAGCTGAAGACCTCTCCTATTAGCGCTTTATCGATTGAAGGCCTGCACCTTTGATGGCTTTGATCACTTCAGTGAATGTCTTAGAATTCAGGTCCAACATCTGCAAGACCGGAGTACATATGACTGGAGTTGGGGGTTCTTACAGTTCTTTTCTAAGACTTTATTATTATTATTATTTTTTAATTGCAATCATGATATTGGCGTTTACAATACTGATATAGCAAAATAAGCATTATGTAAACAAATCTCCAACCAATCACAGTGTGTTTACTGTGTATGCTGAACAATCATTTTCAGAAGAGTATATATGTGGGTCTTTTGATGAATCAAGGTGTTCATGTAATCCAACAGAAGCAAATTATTTTGGTCAAAATACTGCAGTTCAGTCTTTCACCATTGCCACATTATTGATTCAGTGTATTTTCATATCTCAATTGCAATAATATAATCTCATTACTAGTGTTTTGTTCATATCAGGCAGCCCTAATTCATTTCTATCTTAAACCCTGTGTATTTGTTCTCGTAGGTGTCGCAGGGTTCAGATGTTCAGTTCGAGGGGAATTTCTCGCTGTCGTGTGAAGTACAGACACAGACTCTTCCCCACGGCAATGAACACCTGCTGTCCTGGGCCCAGCACCGCTACCAAGCCGTCACCTCCTTCAGTGAACTGAAGATGGCCCACGACGTCTACATTAAAGTTGGAGAGGGTGTGTGACACAAACACACACACACACACTACATACTACATATTGCTTTCCTTTAAATAAAGCTGCTTAGTCTTTAATATTTTTAAGATTGTTGCAAAGTGACAAAGAAAACAGGCTCATTTAAAAACATTTTGAAAAGCTAGATGTCCCCAAACCTTTGATGGATAATGTAGATGACAGGTGATTATTTTACCAAAGCTGTACATTTGTCCCAGCACGCGACGTGCTCTATGTTCTGCTCCGCTGAACCCTAATCAAAGCGCTGCACATGGTAATTCACTCTGAATGGCAGCCATTGACGCTGTGTAATAACTGGGCCCAAGAGTAATAAAGCAGCTCTGCTGAGGCTCAGTCTCTCTGATTACCACCGGCAAAGCTTCAAGCCCATTCAAATCAGCTGAGACTCACTCCATCTCTCTTTACTTTCTTTCTTTCTTTTATTCTTCCTTTCTTGTTTCTCTCCTTTCTTTCTTCTTCTTTTCTGTCATGTTCAGATGATTTGCTCGCCCCTTTAGTTTCTGAAGCTGTCAGAGAGCAAGAGAGAGAGAGCAGAGTGATGGAAAGGCAGAGTAAATAGCAGAGAAAGGAGAGTTTGGCCTGTGCGTGGGCTTTCTGCCAAACTTGCGGCCTTTCACATCAGTCCAAAACTCAGAGAATGGAAACAAAGAGAGTGGGAGAGTGGGGGGAGAGCACAGAATTGAATGTGTAAAGGGAAAATAGGGGAGACAGGTTAAAGAAAAAAAGGAAAGCACAGCATCCAAAGCAACACAGCATTACAGTCCGTTCCAAGTTTAGTTGGTTGGCTGATGATATTAGCTGCTGGGGGAAATTGGCTAATTCTAAAAGGAAACTGGATGAGTGAAACTTGTCTGAAGTATGTTGATAAGATTTTCGACTCTTCCCTGAATCCTGGATCCCACGTCTTAGTTGACTTTGTTGTTTAACGGCGGAGGATATGGTCGAGTTTAGTGAATGGAGCTCATGTGAGGTCACCACTACAAAGCTGAGGCAGGAACTGGGAAGAACTTGACATGTGCTCTCCATGCAGTAGTTTTCATTTAGAGTTTTAGTGAAAATTAGTGTTGAAAAATATCAATATCATTATATCATTCCTAATTACTATATGTGCTTCATTAAAAATATATTAGTTGAATTTGTGTACTTGTTAATGTAAAGAGGATATGCTGTAAGGTAGGCAGAGTCTAAATAGGGCTGTGGCGATTACCGCAACACAGCGATGATAACATGCCAACCGCTGTGGTAGGCACATCATCGCCATGAGCATGCATATTTCCTCCCTTCTGTTTACTTTTTCATTTTGTTTTGTTTTTCCATGAGAGCACAGCTGAATGAAGCACAATTTAATCCAGAAGGGGAAACCACACCATTTCTGCAGTGCACTCCTGTGTTATTCAGTGTAGCTTTTTATACTGGCCGCAAGCAGAAAGCAGCAGCTGTAGCAATCATGCTTGCATGATGTGCAGTTTTAAATGTTGAGCCTTTTTTTCCTGCTTGCATTGACCACCCCCTAAACATGCTTACAATACTCCCACAACATTCCTCACTCGAAACTGTCGTATAAAAACAAAGCAATGCATTGCAGAATCATTACACATTGCTGCTATGTTCAGTAATACACAGTGTGCAGCAGCCTAACCAAAGGTTCATGAAGTTAACCTAAGCTATCGGCATATTCTTTTTTTAATATTTAAATATTAAACAGTATTAAAAGAAGTATTACATGAACATCTCAGAGCTTATGGCAGTGATACCACACATTACAATGGTAAGCTAAATACATCTGGCAGAAGGTCAGTATTTCTGATGGGAGTCATTTCAAATGTATTGTTTCATAGTTTTGTTGATTACCCTAGTGTTCTACTCCAATCAGGCATACCATTATGACCACCTCCTTGTTTCTATGCTCATTGTCCATTTTATCAGCTCCACTTACTATATAAGTGCACTTCGTAGTTCTACAATTACAGACTGTAGTCCATCTGTTTCTCTGCATACTTTGTTAGCTCCCTTTACCCTGTTCTTCAGTGGTCAGGACCCCCATGGACCCTCACAGAGCAGGTACTATTTGAGTACTATTTGGGTACTATAATGTTATGCCTGATCAGTGTATATATAAATTATATAAGATAAATAAACTGTATCAACTGCATTTTGCGAATTAAAGACATCTCAGGAGTGTATTTGTATGATTCTAGTGGTATACTGCTTATGTGAAGCAGCTTGTTTGTGCATGCATGGCTACTACTGCACAAAACCAGTGCAGCATTACTGGAACATCACTGGCAAAGCAGAATGTTTCTGTGCAGTCTGTGCTGTTTTTGTTTTTTTAGTCAGTTTTTTCAGTTTCTGCAAGAAAGGATGTAAGGATGAAGGCTAGCACATGCTTCCTCTGAGACACATGAAGTGCCATCGCTTCTTTCAAACCGCAGCTAATGCCACATCACTGGACAGCTCAATACTCTTAGATTCTGTTGGCAATTGTGTTGAGCAGCATTGTGCTGAGTGATGAGGGAGGAGGGAGGACCACCCTGCCCACCCAACCCATACAGGCCATTATGCTTTCTTGGACTCCTGGCCATGGATGACGGGTGGCGTCGCCAGGCATCAAACCTGTGTGATGATAGGGCCAACGCTTAGGCAGTTGCGCCACTTGGAAATCCCCATTAAGAGGACTTTTGTTGCAAATGTGACCACCTGTATCCTGGTGAAATAACGTTTCAGGTTGCAAGTACAAATTATGCAAAGCCTGAACATGAGTGTGAAAAGGGACAAGTAGTGCACTGTATATGTAATATATGCCAAAGTTCGTAAAGGGTTTTTCAGAATGATGCAAATAGAAGAACCACTTTTAGTTCCCCAAGGAACCTTTCAATAGGTGGACGAAGCCTGAAGAAGCTTTAAGAAAAGGTTTAAAGGACCTCCACATGATGTCACAGTTCTGTACCAGCTAAAAATTCTTAGAACTGTACGTCCAAGCCATGAGAGATTTGGGAAGAGTATTGATTTGAAGCATTCTTATGGCTATGAATGACAGTGAAGCAGTTGCAAACCATGACTCTTAAAACTCAGCCCTCTGACCCCCCTTCCCACGCCTGAACAAACAGCCTAGTTTACTGTGTCCCCTCCTAAAGTATTGCAAAAGTTAAGAAACAAAAATAAAGCTGAAAAGGCCATGCAAAGAACAAAGTCACGCCCTCCTACCACACAAAATCAACAACATTTTATATAACTTTAAGCCTTCACATCATGGCAGGGCACACACAGCCAGGCAGCCATGAGTGACACATTGTTAGAAAAATGACGGGTACAGGGAATCATTTGAAAACAAAATCCATCCTCCTGTCCTTTTGGATGAAGTGGTTGATTGCAGGGTCATGCAACTGATCCTTTGCTTTTAAATTCATCAGCAATCGCTTCTCAAACATTCTGGTGGTGATAGGCTGACTTGGATAAACTTCCTAAATCATAAAATCCATCTTTGGCCCAAGACTCACTCTCCGTGCCCAACAGCAAGCAGTCCCAGCAGTAGAGCTTTTGCTCTTTGGTCGATCCTGTCATCCAGGAGTAGTGTGGTGTAAATGCTGGAGTTGAAATGCCTCTCAAAAAACATTTTTCTACACCACATTAAGCTCTGGTGTAGGTCGCCCTATGCCAATTAACTCCACCTTTTCATTAAAGGTTAATCTAGATGTTCGCCTCAATAGCGGTAATGCTACTGTCGGCTTTCATCATAAACTAACAAGCTAGCTAGCTTTTTGCTAGCTTTGTGTCCCCACAGCGGGCAGAACTTGTCATAAAGTTAGCCATAACAAAGCCCACCCCTTTAGAGGGAAGACATGATTGGTCAGTTTTACTGTCATTTGAAATTGCTCTCTTATTGAATTACTATTGCTTGGCCCTCTGTAAATTTATAGCTGGACCACCAATCACCAACTGTCTTTCCAGCAACAGCAGAGACAGCCATATTCTGATAGGGAGACAAAGGGGTTTCTTTTATTTAACCCTTGACATTCGAACAAATTGAATAGGCAAGTTTGAAGGATTTATTTGCTTAGATTTGTATTTGTTTAGATGTTGATTGTCAAAATGAGATCAGATAAAATTAGAACTGCTCAATTTTAAAATATTATTTTTAGAATATCTTAGGGTGTAGAGGGCCATGACCGTTCCCCTCTGCAGCAGAGAAAACAGAGTAAAGACAGTGCTGTGTGTGATTAAAGTTTGAGGTTTTGGCAGCTACTCAGCATGCTGTGTTTACCTCTGCAGGAGAGCGCTGGCTTTCTACTTTTTCTGCTCCTTTGTAGCTCCGCATGAGAGCAGACGTGTTTCCGATCCACTTTCTACAAAGAGCAGGCACCTCCAATAGTCGGGAAGAGCCAGGAGAGGGAGAGAGAGAGGTGCCAGCCATTCAGTTTATACGCACCATCTTTGTGCTCTGTCCAAAAGCTGGCTGACCAAATAAGGCAGTGTCTGTCTCTCTCTCTCTCTCTCTCTATCTTTCTCATGGCAGAGAGGAGAGGCTTCATCTCCTCAGTAGAGAAAAGGACAAGACCCTGAGCACTCTGAAGGATTTTTTTTGTTGTACATAGAAGGAGCAAAAGTTAAACATTTTCAACAATGAACCAGAACAAGACAATGGCCATGTTTTCACTTCTGTTTATATGCTGACTACAGCTTTTCAAACAAAATTACAGTAGAAACCCGTCCATTCTGTGTCCTCTTCCTGTGTTTGACACTGCGAACTGTGTTTAGGCTTGGCACTCTCACTTTTTATCGTGAAATGTTGCCATGTCTCCAGAGCTTTTGGTCAGTCTGGTCAGTTTTGTCTCTACTCAAATTGTTTTGCAGACCCTGTGTTCTCTGACACTTGCAAAATTGACAATAAGTTCCTGTCTCTGAACTATCTGGCGAGTTATGTGGAGCCTCAGACATCCACAGGCTGTGTCCTGTCCGGCCCTGACCCCCAGCAAGAGGTTCACGTCATTGAACTGCAAGCGCCCAACTCCAGCAGGTGAGTTTTTTTCTGGTTATGTGTCTTCATACTGGCTCCCGTCCTAAAATTCTGTTTGTACAAACTTTGAATATTGGGTTATCCAACCATGTTATCAAAGAGCACCTTACTGACTCCTCATGATATACCTGAAATAAGTCACTTAAGCGTGCCAGTAGGCCTCCATTTGGCTTCTATCATAATTGACCTTATTAACCTTATTTTTGCCATTTATTCATGCTCCACCCACAAAAAAACTCTATTATGAGGCTGGACAAGTTTTACAGAACATCTGTGAAAGGCCTATTCAGTCTAATTGTAGCACAATTCAAAAGTACATTATGCTATATTTACTACTCTGAAACAAGAGTCCCTGAACGTGAGCATATTGTCAAGGATGTGTTAAAGACGTGGCTGAGAGGCAGAGATAGTGGACCTGTGTCACTTACTACTCCAGTTGATGTTGGCTACAACAATTACATGTTGGCACATTGTTCAATGAGTAGACAATACCTTAGTCTTCATCAGCATCCGACGTGACAAATGTTACCTCTATTACCACATTAACTCATCTAAATCCTTGGTTACTAATCCAACATGAAAATTGATGTTTCTTGGCTTTTTGAATAATAAAACATGTTCCTCTGCGTGCTGCTACATTTTTGCAACACCAGTGCTGTGACCTAAAAAGTACACATTGTTTTTGACCAAAGCCCATTTTTTTCACTTTTTTTTTTGCTTCCCTGCGGTCAACCAAATATCCGTTCATGAACTGTAACGGATACTCGAATATCAAAATTAGTCAGAAATGCATGTCCGTAGTTCATGTCACTTATTCTCATTATATTTATTTTTGCCTGCATGTGAAAAAGCACCCTTTGGGATATTTCAGGTATAGTTTTTTTGGTCATGTAATCAAGGTTTTTAGGGTAAACATCTGATTGATTGGCTACAGAGAAAGTTCCCTGGCTTAAACTCCATTAATGTTGCTAGCTAGCTAACTCCATAGCATACACTGGTAGCTACTATTGAATGGCTGACAGCATTCTTCTTGATGTGCTTACCATATTTACTGGTATTACGATAAAAACAGAAAATAGACAAAAACAAATACAGACACATAGGCTATGTTCACACAGCAGGTAAGTGTGGCCCAAATCCAGTCTTTTTCTTCTTATGTGACACAGATGTGTTATCTGTGTGGCGGTGTGAACAGCAAAAAACACATTGAATCTGACATTTTCAATTCCGATTTGAGACACTTTCACATGTGGTACTGAAATCCGATACGTATCCGATATGCAGCAATGCGATTCAGTCTGAACAGCCAGATCAAAATTCATGCAACTTTTACATCAATCCAACTCGACATTCATCCTAATTTTGTGCTGCTAAGTTCTCATAACCTTTTGGGGTGATGTTTCTGTACAAAATTAGAAGAGACTTTTCCGAAACCCTTCCGTGTTTGAAGATATTTCAATAGAATGTGGCTGTAGGAGACTGATGCTGCAGTGTCAAATAAAAGTTAAAAGTCTGAAAGCTAAGTTTGAAAAATCCGAGGACACATCTTGCACACGTTCTGAGTCCAGCTTCCAGATCACTCCTGTGATGCTGCCGAATTTAAAACATTTAAAACATATTTTGAACAGCCAAGCAAAAAATAAGATTTGGTGAGAAAATCTGATTTTGGCCACTTTTACCTGCAGTGTGAACATAGCCATAGAGGTAGACATCTATAGATACCAATGAAGATTAAGTTAGGAGTTAGGAAATTAATCAGTCACAAATGCTTGGTGTAATGTGACCTGTCATATGCATACAAAATGAAGATTATTTAAAATGAGAATAATGACACATTCTAAGTTTGTGCATTTAGACAAAACTGAGTTTCTAAGTAAAGTGCACTGAACTTTAGGTGAGGTTGGGTTGGGCTGAATAACACTTTTATCATGGCAGCTTGTCCAACCTCAGTAACTGCAAAAGAACTGGTCCACAAACTAAAAACTACAGAAGAATAGAGCATGATAGGGTCAGTTATGTTTAACTGTATCTGTATCAGTTGGTCCTTATGCAGCCTTATATAATGCTTGTAATGCTTGTGGAGTCATGTTGTTTACGTGGTTGTTTTCCCCGTTTGTAAATCAGATAGTTAGAGAGATTGGATTGGCCAAAAGTGTCTTTTGTTTGTCCTATGGAGTCAAATATTTGTAAACCGTTCAATGTGTGTGGTACTGTGTGTGTGCTTGTGTTGGTATAAATCTATGTGATCAGCATGTCAAAATGATGTTGCATTTCCTCTTCCTCTGTAAAGTTTGTTTGGAGATAGAAAGGAACTGGGATAGTGTTGACTTATAAAATTTTCATCAAAACAGTATTATCTCTATCTCAGCTTTAGCTGATATCCTCCCATGCTCTGATTACACGCTATTTCCCAATAATGACTCAAAAACCTGAAAAAGCATGAGATACTGGAGAGAGACTCAGAGTATTGCGTATGAGTGTTGCGTTATGTGGTGTGTTGCGCATATGTTCTGCTTTTCTGGGAAAATGTCCAGTTTTTTAATCAGTTGGCCAGACGGAGAAGCATGTTAATACTGAAGACGTTTTCTTATTGCACTTTCTCTGTCTCTCTCTTTCTCTGTCTCTCTCTGAGCAGTGCATTCCAGGTGGATGTGACGGTGGATTTGAGGCCGTTAGAGGGGGAGATTCCTCTGCATCGTGACGTTGTGTTGCTGCTCAGATGTGAGAAATCAGTGAACTGGGTGATCGAGGCCCATAGCATCATCGGCAAACTGCAAATAGTGGTACGGACCCATAAATACACATCTGCTCACAAAGACCAAGTATATTTCCCCAGGTTTAAAACTTGAGCTCACAAAACAGCTTTCCAGAGCTAATTTCTTTATTCTGCACCTACTGAATGTTAGAGGTCGGTGACCTCTGCAACCCTACAGACCAAGCCGCTCACTGGGCAAACTTTCAGATTGGGCGGCGTTAGTCAGCTTGGTAGCTTACACAAGTGTTAGGTGAAAGTTTGTTAGGAAAAATAAATTGTTCCAGAGAAGATATGCTGTAGTTGCATAAGTATGTTTTTGAAGTACACACAGATGAATAGCTTAAAATCACTTGTGTTGTAGTTTGCTAACTAGATATCTTCTTTGCTTCATTCTTACACAACAGTGGCAAAAAAAAAAATTGCCATGTTTACACCAAATGCCAAAGTTTTTTTCTTGTACAGAGCTAACCACACATACATCCGGGTCAAGAATGGTTCAGATAACTTTATTGTTAAGGGTCTTGGGCAGACAAAACCCCTTCTTGGACAGAAGTTAGTGGGCTAGCTCAGTGGTTCTCAGCTCCAGTCCTGGGGACCCCTTGCCTTGGACAGCTGTGTTAGATATGCTGGGGCTTGAAACTGGTCAAAGTGGGGGCTAGCTAGCTAATTAAGTTAGTTAGCCAGCTAAAGTGCTGCTGAGGTACTTAGCATTAAGCGTTGGTAAAAGTTTACTAGCATTAGATAGCTAGCTAACAGGCTACCTTTGCATTTACTCCTAAAGATTGATTCAGATAAGATGTCCTATAGTTACATTCTTAGGTTTCGACATTGAATTGGATCACTTTCTGTACATGTTAGCTAGCCAACTGGTTAGCTATTTACCTAACCCTTATTTTGAAGGAGTAATTTACACAGGCTCTAGCAGGGTCCTCTTCCACCCAGCCTGGAGTTTCATGTTGTCAGTCTACAGGGCTGCAGCTCGATGATTTTCTTCAGATGTGTCGGAATTCCCTCTGTCTCCATCTGAACACTTTCTGAGTTACTTTCTGACTGCTAGAATTAACTTTGAGTTAGAGAGGCCTACAACATGTTGAAGCCAAGACAGTCCTGACAGGCATGTTTTCTTTCAAACCTATAAAACTTCTGTTGTAAAGCGTGACGGTGCAGTAGCTCTACTTTGTAGAGGACACAGACAGACTGACTGACAGATAGACGGGCTGCAACAGGGCCGGAGGGGACACTGTGAAATCTCTTGCTGACAGCTTCAGCTGAAGTGATGGCAAAGCAAAGGGTGATGGGTGTTTTTCTCTGTCCAAAGCCTGCAGAGGATTGTTATTGCGCTGTTGGGCCGGCTGTCTTGCCATCCCTCAGACAGTGTACCATGAGTGGTTTTACAGTACACACAAACTTCTAGCACAGTCCACGTGCATGTCCACTCTGTTAGGAGTTTGTTGTTTACAATAGATTCAGACGGTTATGAGACATAAACTGTTGTTGTTTAGAATACTGATAAGAAAAAAATTGAGGCAAGGCATGTTTTCTATGCAAATATTGCTTAGTAAGAAGCAAGATCAACACAGATTATATTTGATTCCGCTTGACATAACTAAACTTAATGCAATAGCTGGGTGAAAAATCAAATTCACACAATGTCCCCCTTACCCGAAATTTAGAAGCTAAGCCAAGACACTTTTGGTGTTTTTGGGGTTTTGTTGTTTCTGACATTGTATGATATACTTGTATCTACACAAACGGACAAAGATACTGAAAAAATTCAGACTTTGAGATGTCCAAAATGTCCTGCATCGTTTCTTGGCTGTAAGTAACAAAAGCTTCTGTTCGCATGCAGAACTTCATTAGCCAATGCAAAGTGATAAAACGGGTCATCTCCATACTGAGGGGTCTTCACTGTGCAGAGCACATGGAACAATTTCAGGCTTTTTTATGTGTGTGTGGGCATATTTAGTTATTTTTAACATTTTTTTTTCCGCATTAGCCACATTATGTCCACATTAGCTGCTGTTTCTACATTGGCTATTCTTCCTTGATATTTTGACAGTTTGATATTTGTCTGTTTTCCATGAGGAGAAAATGCTTTGTTTTTAAACAAGAACTAAAGGAGCTTTTTTTAAACAAGAACTTAAAAAAGAACTGCTGTTTTGGTTGCAATGATTAACAGTGTTGGGGTAGTTACTCAAAAAAGTAATCGATTACAAATTACTTATTAATTCTTTCAAACTGCAATACTTTCAGATTACTTGACTCATTACTTCCTGGAAAAAAAAATTAATCTCATTACTCATTATTCTACATTTTACAAATCTGTATCAGCTGGAAAGGACAAAAAAACACCTGACAATTTTTTTTCAGCATTTAGAAAGCAGTAGCCAGTCACAGTAAACATCATTTAAAAGGCCTGTCACTATCCCTGCCTTTGAACAAGCCAGTTATGCTTGATTACAATTCTGAATGGCTGATGACACTTGAAGACCTACGAACTAGCCAGTAGAAACAGACTGAAAATAGCTGGCTTGGAATAAAATCTTTGTGAATAAAAATATAAAGCTTGCAGGACTGTTTCTGAATGTGAGGTTGAAGCTCATTCTTCTTCAGCACAGAGATTTTTATCCATCAGTTTCATATTAGCAGGATTAGGTGCTTTGACAGAGTTCCCCAGCACATGCTGGGCTGGTTATATTCACAATCAGACTCTTGCAGTCAGCTGTTGCAAGTAGCACATGCACAGAAGTTATGCTGAAGGACCGTCACAGGTCAAGTAGAGAAAATTTCCAAGTTAAATGCACTGCATGAGATTCACAATGTTCACTCAGAGACATATGAGTAATGCAAGTAACGGAATTCTTCTTACGTCAGTCACTGTAATTTGATTATAAAAAATTTTAAAACGTTACAGCATTACATTCCAGTATTACTGTAAAGAAGAGTTCACAGTATCACAGCAAGAAGAACACACTTATTGGCTATTCACTTTTAAAGCAGGATCGTCTAAGATTGTTTTGATAAAATTGAAGGAGGTAGCATTACTCAAAAAATAAACACACACTAAACTATGGTGTGTGTGCACTGCCGTAAGTCACCCTATAACGCCTGAAATAGCAATTTAAAAGGTGGAAGTGATGGATCATACATCTTTACGTATTAACATTGTACATACAAGCTCAGGGTCCAGCTTGATGTTTAGGCAAATGCAGAATCAATATTATATTGATGAAGATATGACAATAGTAGATAATTCACTCACATCCTCAGAAAACACGCACTTCACCACTTTCAGCACATTCGCAATCATCAGATTCATCCACTCAGGGATAGGGGACTGATGCACAACCCACATTATAAAATGTTCTTCCGCATGTTGCATGCAATTAAACACTTCCACCAGAGAGGTGTCCACATACATAGTGTAGCTTTAATGTATTGCCGCCCTGTGTGGAACTGCACAGGGCTACACGGTGCGCTGCCATGGTGCACCAAGGCAAAAGTAAACATTTTTTAAGCCCAGGTTACACTGACCTTCACACACACAGCCAATGACAGTAGGCTTTTTTGGCATCTCGTCACTGTAGAATATCAAAAACCATGTAGTCTGTATTTTTAACTTTTCATGATTATGTGAATGGAGTGTTTGGCTTCTATCGAGTGATTTGCTGCAATGAGTGCTGGATCAGTTGAATGTTGTCGTTGAGCAATGAGCAAGTGTGAATACTGCTTACCCCCAACATTAGTGGTTGAGATTAGGGTTAGGTTAGGTGGACCACAGCAGCACTTACAGTTGAATGCAAAAGTTTTTAATCCCCCCACTCAAATTGCATGTTTTGTTGATTTTCTAAGTAAAAAAATATAATTTTTCTACTAATTTTACTGCATCATATCTATGAGTTTAACATATGGGAAAAAAAATAAAACAGAAAACAGAAAATGTGCTGTAAGTTTCACACAGGCCACATGTTATGTTTGTATGCCGAATTCAGATAAATAGTAATTGTGTATTAAAATGTGTAGAAGTATGATCATTATAGAGGACCTGTAATTATTTTCTTAGAAAAACAGCAAAAAACGTTTTTAATTTGACCATGTTTGCCTAAACCTTTGCATGCAACTGTACATATACTTATACAGAAACAGATGGAAACACCCCCCACACACACCAATACACACTAGCTTTTGTGTGAGTGTGTGTTTGAGTATGCCTCTGTGAATCGGCCACTGTGCTGCTGGACATGAAAGAATGCAAACTGTGTAAGTCTATCTGAGATCCTCATAAAGTCAAAGCTTCACTTCTGTGGGCAGGCTGGTCTGACCACTACTGCCAGCCTGGTGCTTGAGTGTGAGAAATTGAGTGTGGGAAAAGTAGAAAAGGGGGCTATACCCCTCCGCCTCTCTCAATTTACTAGCAGAAGAACAACCAGGAACGAATGTGGAATCCCTACGTAATCTGACACATTGGATCCTCCACTGATTAGAGAGTTTCTCAGCAGACAGGACAGAGAAACAGAAGCTAGTGCATTGGTCATGGGCTCACAGCGGACTGTCTGTAGATCAGTGTGTTTGTCTGACCCTGTCCATGCACTTTAATCTGTGGTGTTCTCGCGTGATGTATTTACGGTTATTCACAGGTGAACCGTAGCCAGTGAAATTCAAGCTAAGCCATGATGAATTTGGTGTGGAAAATTTGCTGTATTTAATGCATTTGTTGATTTATTAGCAGAAGCAGAATGCAGTCTGATATACTGTGACAGGCCACTTCTAAATCATGTCTGTTTGAATTATTGTTTCAGAAGTTCATTCTGCATCCTCTGAACTGACTACAGAATGAGTTCAAAATACATAAGCTGAAAAAGTGATAATAGAATAATAGAAGGATTTTAATCACATAATGAACAAGTTTTTCATTTTTCATGAGATTTCTGAATACATTAGATATAAAATAACCATCTTGCATAAGAAAAGCGTATGTCAAAAGAAAATAAGTGAAAAAACCACCACAACTGTCCCCATCAGATAAACAGTACTTAAAGCTTTCATCTATCTGGGAAAAAAGAACCTTTTCAAATAAAAAAAGAAGCTTCTAGTGTTTTCACAGCCATGGACTGACCACCCCAGAGTCCAGACCTTAACCTCACTGAATGTGTTTGGGTTGCTTGTATCACAAAAAGCAAAAAATGCAACCAACTTCTAAGTCTGAACTTTGGAGTGTGGAAAAATATCCCTGCAGATTTCTTGGAAAAATAGAATAGAGGCTGTAATAAAGGCAAAGGATGGACACACTAAAAACTGAAAAATGTAAAAATATATATAGTTGTGGGGGCTTTGGTGTAGAGATGCACTGCGGAAGAGCACCTGATTCACATCCTGTTTGGGCTGATGTAAGCATGATTGTGAATCTAGTGACTGTGGAAGATGATTATGATCAGTTCAAATAATAATGATCAGCTAAATATGAAATAATTATGACAGGCCTACTCACTGTCATATTAATGTATTAAAACATGTTATTTTTTTTTATTTGGGGAAAAATAACCAACTCGCTCTTCTCTCTATTTTTTGCCTTCCCCATCCTTAGACATCAGACAGTGTTGGCCTGAGTGCTAGCACAGAGCGGCTAATGCAGGTGTCTAAGGCTGTAAGGCAGAAGCTTCCTGCAGGGGCTCAGGCACTGATCCAGTGGGCGCAGGAGAACGGTTACAGCCCCGTAACCTCCTACACCAGCACCGCTGTGGCCAACGTCTTTAACCTGCGCCTCAAAGAAGCTGGTAATCTACTGCTGTCCAATCAGATGCTTTCATTTAACAGACCAACAAACCTTCTCTTCAGCATTATAAGTACCAGACATTGCTGAGATCCGATCTTTTTAAATTAATGGAATAGGTATGTGACTCAAATTTGTCAAATTTGCATGCATCCTAATCGATAATGTCGCGTGAATGAATCATGTGTGTCGTGAACAGCAAACAAGCTAACCAGCAGAACTAGCTTTTGCTGCGAAGATAATTTGCTCTGAACAGCTCTCAGTTGTTTATTATTAGAGTGAGATGAAGGCGAGCAAGAGTCAGATACATTGATTTTGCATTGTTTACTGGCACTAATTTCAGGTTAGGCACTGCTGCCACAATAACACTGAATGATGGTGCATGTGCAGTGAAAAAACCCACATGTATTCTGATCTGAGCGTTCTCACTGAGGCCCCATGACCATGAATCGGATATGTATTAGATCTAGGGGTACATCCTTTGACCGTATCAGAAATTTAACATATTTGTTGTATGAAAAAGTTATCTTCCAAGGATTATAATTTACCTGCTTTATATGCTGGGGGCTCAGTGGTTCAGACACTGACTGTGATTACTGTCATTTCCAGATGTGGTGGATCCTCTGGAGTCAATGTTTCCTCCGGAGCTCTCCATCCTCCAGAATGGCAACCCGCTCCCCCTGCCCAGTGTCCGGGATGCTCCTGCCCGGCCCAGCCTCCCCTTCCCTTTCCCTCCGCCCCCAGACCACGGCCTGCCCTTTCCGCTCCTCCCACCCTCTCTGGAGGAGCCGCAGGGTCCTGAGGAGCAGCGGGGGGCGCTGACTGCAGGGTTGAGCGTGCGCTGTGAGGAGAACAGGATGGTGGTCAGCATCGACAAGGAAAGCCTGCAGGTAAAAACCTGAACACTGGAAACCTCATAATTAGTCACATCAACACTGCCTGTTAAAAGACACTTAGGTTTTCAACATGTTTAATACAAATAAGCATGCATTCTTTGTTGGTTTGCTATAACTTTATTTATTAGGGACTAATCAGGTTTATTTTGAGGAAATCAATATTTGTAACAGTAAAGAGTTTCAGTTTGTGCTTTCTTCATATCAAAGAAGATACTTTGTTGAATGTGAAGCAGAGTGTTGAAGCTTAAAGTTAGTTGTTAATACAGTATTGACAACCGGTTTACATTTCTGTGCAAAGGTCAAAGACCACTCTTATTTATTTAATCTCTGGTCAAAAAAGCCATTCAGTTATTAATTTTCAGCATCAGAAAAAAAGTCAAATAGATATATTTAACAAAAGATTACAGAGAAGTGTCAACAACTAACTGTAAAATCGTTTATTTTTCACTGTTTAGTGTGTCCAGCCTTGCTTTCAGTTTTTCAAAGATTTCTGCAGGGATATTCTCCCACATCTCCAAAGTTCAGTTTTAGAAGTTGGTTGCATTTTCCACTTCTCACAATCCAAGTAATTACAATTACAAATTTAGACTTATCAGTCCATAAAACCGTACTCTACATCTCACATGTCCAGTTTCAGAGTTCTACTACGCATGTTCTTTTTTGTCTATTGCCTTTCCTCAGTAACAGCTTCTTGACAGCTACACATCCTTTTGCACTCATAGTTGAGTTGTGTTCTTACAGTGGAAGGATGGACAGAAACAGCTGTAGATTTTTTCAGGTCTGAAGTAAGAGTGGGGCACGAATTTCTGCTCTCTCTCAAAGATGAAAGTTTTAAGTACTGTTTATCTAATGGTGACAGTTTTGGGGTCTACCAGGTTTTAAATGGTTGTTCATAGTCCCATTTTTTCTTTCTCTTAGAATTATTTTGGAATTCCAGTTTTGAATACAGCTTTTAAACTTAGTTTTGTTTGGACTCTCCCCTTGCTTATGCAAATCGATCATCTTATATTTAATCTTCTCAGATTAGCCATATTAGATGCGCAGGAGAGCGAAATTTGAGTATTTGTTTGTATGAATGTTAGTGTCTCTGTGAAGGGTAGCACAGCTTCAGTGACACCTTTGGGAACAACTTTTGGAGATCAGAGGGATGGAAGAGGTAAAGTGGCAGTAGGTGCACAAAAGTAAAGAGCGGACAAATTACATACCAAAAGATTTGATATTATGCTTAGTGTTGGGGTGTAATTTTCTGTTTCCTGCTTTATTGCCTGACACTGAAATATGAATGATTGTACTTAATGAACACTTTTACTGGAAATTAAATAAACAAAAGGGTAGTATCTGACTTGTACGGTTCTTCATGATGACAAAACCTTTGGAAATTCCATTCTTTTAAAGTAACAGTTCAAAGATTACTTGAAAATTTAAAAAGAAGCAAACTTTGTCTCCAAACTTTTGATAGGAGTTTTTTCTCACACTTAAAACTGTGTGAATATTCCCAGAATAAGTGTGTGTGTTTGTGCCAGTTTGTGTGTTCAGCTTTGTGATGTCAGGCTTTGCAGTAGACCACTTCAGACACGCACACGTCATCAACTCTGCAATCAAACTACTTTTGGTCAGAGCTGGAACCTCTTGCGAGTTTTATTTGTTTCTGGGAACATGCAGCATTTGTTGTTGGATTTTGAAACAAGCATTGTTTCTCACACTTGGAGCATGGTGAAAAGTGCCAAGGAGTTGCTGTATTTATTGGTTAGTTGGACATTTGGACTGAATCTGGAGTTCTTGTCCGACTCTTCTAAAATCTAAGTTCATCTTATCTGTTAACCCAATCAGTGGAATGAAGAATGTAGAAATACATGACTGTCTGGCTCAGAAGTCGATGCACTCAAATAGCGGTCATCTTGCATTACTGCATGCATTTTCTAAATGATGACTTTTGAATTTACTTCACAGGCGAATGGCATTAGTAAACCTAACATAACCCTTCAGGACCCACGATGCAAAGCAACTTCAAACTCCACTCACTATACACTGGAAACACCTCTTACTGGCTGTCAAACCACCAAATACCCCTCTCACCCAAGCCCAGTGGTCCTCTACATCAATTCAGTAAGTATGCTAAAGTATACTAAGTGCTAACACCTAAGTAGCAAATAATTATGTGCCAGTTGTGTGTTTTTCATAATCATAATGCTTGAAATTTATTTAGAACTCTAATAAATATCACTGCTGCTGTGAAAACTGTGAAAACCCAGAAACAGCAAACCACAAACAGCCCTGCCTCCATGACAAAATAAACATGAACTTGAATGACTAAAAAAATTATTACAAACTTAGTAAAAGAGCATTTTAGACTTGAAGTGGTAATGGCTCTGCTAAGTCAAGTCTGTTCTTTGTTTTTTGCCCCGTGCAGTGTGCATCCCTCTATAAAGAGCTGGTGCAAATGCAAAAGATTATTATCTTTTATATTATTATATTATTTTAGAACCCAACTAAACAAGAACAACATAGAATTGAGGATGAGTTACATCGCCTCACAGCAAGAAGGGCCTGGGTTCAATTCCCCGGCCAGTGTGTCTGTGTGGGTTTCCTCCGGGTGCTCCGGTTTTCTCCCACAGTCCAAAGACATGCAGTCAGGTGAATTGGAGTTGCTAATTTGCCCATAGGTGTCAGTGTGTGTGTATGTCTGTGTTTCTGCCATGTGATGGACTGGCAACCTGTCTAGGGTTTTTTTTTGCCCTCCGCCCAATGACCCAGGAGAATAAGCGGCTTAGATAATGAATGAGTGGGTAGGTGGGTAGGGTGAAAATCAAACAGGAGGAGAGGTGTAGGGTTTAGTGATGAAAAACTGGTTCCATTAAAGGGACCGAAGAAGCTACTAGAGTTATTTTACACAATAAAAGCTTTAATTACAAAATATTTGGTTTTATAATATTGGAAAGAATCTTGTACTGCTTGTACTGTAACTGTAAAAATGGAAACTAATAATAATTATAAGAGGAAGAAGAATAAGAAGGTATATAATCTTATTTATTTATTTATATAAATTTTTGATGGACATTGCTGTCCAAATAGCGGAAAATACTACAAGAAAGTCTATATCGCCCACCCTTGGTTTTGATGGGTTTGCTATCATTCTCTAATGTGGAAATCAGTAAAAATAAAGAAAACTCTTCTACAGAGTACGGATGTTCAGCCATGTGACTGATACTGTACAGTTATACTGTGTAGGCCACATGTTGTCAATTGACAAGCCTTGTGTGCCATGCTTTTGTGATGTATTTTGAGGGTCAGTTGAGGCTGACTGTCCCCTTTGACTCTATCTGTTTTGGTCCAGTCCATTTGTTCTCACCCAGCTTGAATGAGTCACTTCCTTACTGATCTCCTTCGATAATTTGTGGAGGAAATTCAATACAACGCATTTTAGCCCTAGTCCATTAAAGGGCTGGGCGACCTCCCAACTGTTGCTGCTTTGTTGTGGATGTAGGGCCTCAGGGGCAATTAGACAATGTGTCCTGCATGGTCAGAGCAAAGACGTGGCTTTGATTGGAGCTGAGAACCGTCCTAAAGGTCTTGGACAATGATGGAAGCTGGCAAGAACAGTGGATGAACGTTTCACCTTGTTTAAGCAATGTTCTCAGGCGTCCACTCCATCACCTCTGAACTGGTAAACAGCCGGTGCTTGATACTGAGGGGTGATTCCCTCTATTATGGTGTGTGGCCTTCTTGCTGAGTTCAGAAATGAAAAGAATGCTTCGTGGATCCATCCTGGGACCAGCGCTGTTGAAACTGCTGAGCATTCCCACGTCTTAATTCCAGCTCATCTGTTTCTGCTGGCCTTTGGCGTGCCCTTACTTTCTCTCTCTCTCTCTCTCGCACTCACAAACACACAGGGGGTCACTGCTCGTCTGAGCAATGAACACAAAGCAGTGTTGTTCAGTGTTGTTCAGTTTATTCATTGATCTGTGGGAAACTGTGGATCCATACTTCAGTTCCTCTCTCTCATAACTATAGAAATTACACATTAGCTTCATAGTAGTTACTGAAAAATTAAAGATTAAAAAAAAAGATTAAAGAGCCTGTATCCTACATTTTGCTTGCATTTTATGTTTTTCCCTGATCTCCCCTTAAGATGTTTGTTTGGGTTGATGTGTGCAAAAATTGCAAAAATAATTAATTCTTACATGACCTTTTTCAACCTCTCTTTATCCATTAGATTTAGACAGGCTGCTTTTGTTACTGTGCCTTTAAGACTAATATATGTAAAGAATCTCAGCTCTGATTGGCCCCGTATCCTTCCTCATTCAAAAAGATATCTGGGCCGAAAAACTGCATAATTTTAACATGAACAGGCAGGGCTAAGCTGTTGAAGGCCAAATAGGTGGGTAATAAAAGTCAATTATTAGTTTTGTGACATCACATTCTGAACCACTTTTTGCAGCTTAATTTTCATGCATGGATTATATGGGCAGAGGAGTAAAGAGTATGTTGTGAATCTTTAGCAATGCTGATGACCAGTGTCAAATGGTTTTATTTAAAAAAACACAAGGACAATCGATTTTTTATGATATGCCCCATTTAAGAATTTCAGCAGTTGCTATGAGCTACAAGTGACACGTAATTAATATCAAATTTATGTAGTGCATTTTTCACATCCAAAGTCAATTCAAAATTTTGCATTTGGCAGAAATGAAAAGAGACTAGGAGGAAGAGAGGTGAAAGGATCAAAAGAAATAGTGCTGATGGGTGGCATTCCAAAGTGAGGCCATAACCCTCACTAATCATAAGTTATACTGCAATACTGAGCTAATGTATGAATTTTTGTGATTGACAGATTGTGATCAGCCATTCAGAAGTCAGGGACGGCAGTGGCTGGCCATTGGATGATGAAGACCTCGAATCTGGAGATGTGCTTTTGCCAGGAGATCCAGACACCCCAGAAAAGACTGCCATGGAGACTGGACACCGCTCTACCATCATAGTACGACATTTGCTTGGCACTCTGTAGTGTAGTATATATTACAGCATTTAAGAATTAATGTACGCATGATAAATTAAAAGTGCAGCAAAAAATCATACACCTTCTTACAGCAATTGTAGTCCATAAAACAAGACATGCTTGATGTTTGTCTGTACTTTTGTCCATGATTATAGCTTATATGCATATGTATATATGTACACACATCCCCAGCGTTAACGGTCAGTTTTAGCCTTCAGCTGTCAGTAACTTATAGCACAGGCTATAAATGAGCATTGTCCGTATAATTCAGGTGAAGTTATATTGTCACGCAAGGTCTCTCATACACTAGAGTAGGCCGTGGTCACATTGCCAAGTGAACATACTTGATGATATATAAATGTCTGAGAGGTGCCTGGAGAATTTCAGCTTGAGACTACATATCCCAGACTCCCTCAGTGCTAGTAAAGGCAGATCAGTAAGGAGTTCACCATCTCCTCACCACGTCTGTTTTCTGAACTCCTCGCGACCTGCTCCTCTGGAACACTGCCACGCTTCCCTTTCTTACTTCAAAGTCTCTCTCTCTTTATCTCTCTCTCCCTGTCTTACTCTCTCTTTCCCTGTCTCTCTCCGTCTACCACTCTTTCTCTCCCCACCTTTCTCTTTCTCCCCCATCTCTCCCCACCTCTCTTTTTCTCTCTCTCCTACTCTCTCTGCCTCTTTGTCTCTTTCTTCCCCCTTTCTCTTTCTCTTTTTCTCTCTTGCTCTCCCACACTCTTCTTCTATGTATATCTCTCCCCCTTATTCTTTCTCTACCTCTCAATTAACTCATCTCTGTCAATCCACCACTCTTTCTCTATCTCTACCTCTTTCTGCTGCTTTTTTCAGCCTTTCATTCTCTGCATATCTCTCTCTCTCTCTTGGTATCTCTTTGTCTCCAATTCTCTCTCTCTCTTTCTCTTTTCCCTCTTATTCCTCCTCTTTAACCCCAACAAACTTTCTCTATTCTTTCCATAATCACTACTCAGATCTTGCTTTTCCCTATTTCTTTGTTTTTCTCTCTCCCTCTGTATCTCTCTGTAGCTGTAACATTGTACAGCCCTGATGAAGTTGATGTTGTTGATGTTCTCATCCTCTCTCTCTCTCTCTCTCTCTCTCTCTCTCCCTCCCTCTCTGTCTCTCTCCCCTTCTCTCTCTCTTACTCTGTCTCTCTCTCTCTCAGTTTAACTGTACGTATCGTAAAGACCTGGACGCTGCAGGTGAGTCTCACAGGCCGGGGTTTGGCAGGTTGTCCAAAGAGCCAGTGGACAATGTGACGTTCAGCATGGAGCTGTTTACGACCAACCTGTTCCGCTATCCAGCACTGAACACCTTCCTGACCATCTCGGAGAATAAACCCATCTTTGTAGAGGTATAACTACAAATGGGACTTTGTAACAATTCTACTTCTACTGTTATTGGTTGTTTTTCTATTACTTCAACAAACATGAAGAATATAATATGATGAAAGGCCTTATTAGTAGCACTGTTAGCAGAACCTTGTAGCTCAGACCTATCAGTGGTATCGGGACCTCTATAATAGGGCTGCAACAATTATTAGACAAGGCTGATCAGTTGTCAAGGATGCCAATTAAAATTTAAACGTGCTCTGTAACGTCTATATGATATATAGAGTATCTCTGACATATTGCAGTACGTGACAGGAGGTGTAGGGGGCAATATGGCTTCTAGGGTTTCATTAGCATCATAAAAGAATCACATGGACGAATCTTGCGATGATGACAGAACTGTGAAGGGGCAGATTGTGAAGAAATAGCTGAAATCCTAATGCTTCTATTAGTCGACTAATCAGATACTGGTTGATGGAAAATCAACTACAGGAATAATTATCTTTAGTTTCCACACTAAACACTTGGTATGACAGCAAGAAGGCCACCAAAATTACAATGCTCACTTTTAACTGAGTGCAGGTTGCAAAACTTTGCCTTAATGACGTGGTATGTTAAGCCATACCTCTCTTACTGCTGGGGAATTCACTGTGAGCGCTATAGCTGTGCCACATTGGCCTCTTATTTTTTATTGGTTTCATTTTTCTAGCGCACGTCTTCTTCTGTCACAGCTATCCTCGCATCATGCGTATGGTCTGTCAAACACACTCGTGCTGAGAGGACAAGTTACGTGTTTTTGAGTGATTTTGCCTGGAGGACTGTGTGAGTGTAGTGTATATCCATGACTTTCTGCCTATCTTTCACTGTCGCTTCTGTCAAATAAGTCCAGAGCCTGTTGTGTATACATTTAGTCTAGTCAGGGCCCCTTTTTAAAGGGTTTTTTTGGCTGCCGGAGGAGGTCTGTAGATGTTTGGTCACGGTCAGTAAGAAAAGCTAACGCCCCATCTTTGGCTGTGTCCCGTTTACGGGGCTATGACCTTCAAAGGTTGTGTTTGTCAGCCACATACGTAATAATCACTGTCCCTTTTCAAAAGAACATGGAGTGTCCTTCAGAGGTAGTCAAGAAATTAGAGCTTCTTTTGACAGACTTTTTAGGCTGCACCAATATATCTTTCTCAGCCTCAGTCTCTCATAAGCCTTAGCATTGCAAGCTACTATGAAAGTGGAACAGAGCTAATAGCCAATGTTAAGGGGAGAATAAGATTTTAGATGTATATTATCACAGTTTTTTATGAAAATTATTTTTAGTTTACCAGATCAGTTGACAGTTACCGGATCAGTTTGATGATTCCTCAAATGCTGCCAAGAAATTAGAGCTTTTTGTGACAGACCGTTTTGGCCTCAATCTCTCATAAGCCTTAGCATTGCAAGCTACTGTAAACACGGAGCAGAGCTAGTAGCTAGCAAGCATGGGAGAAATGTTTACTCCCTTTTTATGAAAATTGTTTTACCAGACCATAGTAGGATGGTATAAACAAGTGTACTTTCATGACATATTATGCTTGACCAGCTATTTTGTTAGCCATATGGTTAGCTATATTGCATCTCCAGCAGGTGTTCTTTTGTTAAATGTGAAGATAATGATAACCAGCTAACAGCTATATTTTCAGCAATGCTGTTAGCTGTTAGCATGTCTAATGAAAGTATTTTCATCATGAATGACCACCGTTATATGTTAGCTATCTGTTTTACATGTCTAACAAGGTTTTCCATTAAACGTTTAGTTATTTGCTAGCTTGGTTATATTGCTAGCATAATATGTGTACTTTCGTTAAATGGTAAGTTATTGTGGATCAGCTATATTGTTAGCATGTCTAATAAGTGTACTTTTATTAAATATTAAGCTCTAACGTTAGCATGTCTAAGGAGTTTGCTTACATTAAATATTAAGTTTTGACCAGCTTTATTTACTATCATATTGTTAGCCTGCCTACTGATTGTACTTTCATTATATATTAAGTGACCAGCTATAGTTAGCTATATTACTGGCATGTCGAATGAGTGTATGTTTATTAATTGGTAAGTTATGAATCACAAGCTTTATTTACTAGCTATATTGTTAGCCTGTCTAAAACGTGTACTGTGACCAAGCACATAATGGTCATTGCTTCAGTACTTTGAAAAGTGCTGGGTCAAATGCCAGCTCATTTTCTCTCATATTCGCTAATATGAAACATTGCATTGTCCTTTTTTGTCCCTTGAAGTTGGAGTTTGGTCATTTTTTTTGTCAGCCTGACTCAATGCTTGGCCACCAGGCCAATAAAAACATGAGCACAGGGGCAGTACAGCGCAGTGGCTAAAGGTTGGCAAACTTTGGGCCTTTGAAGCACTGATTTATGTCAGAATCAGATGCTGATCTGCTTGAGCTGTTTGGACACTCAGCCAGCAGGTCACAAAGAGCTTTGTGTGCGTTTCTATGTGTCTCTCAGTCTGTAAAACCCAGTCGAAACATCATGCAGGGCCCAGAGCACCACCACCCTGGCCTGAAAAACTCTATCCCATGACCTTCCATGGCCCCTGTGTCATAACTCACATTATCCATGTGTCATAAGTGCTGTTGTGCGTGTGTCAAAAACTCATGTGTCCACCGGATACTTTGGCAGTGTAACTGCTTGAGGCACAGAAATATAGAGGAAATGGGATGTGATGTTTTCTGTGGCTGGTGTTATGAAACTCTGTGTGAGGGCAGGTCTGTTTGTGCATGCTTTAGCAGAATCAGATGGGCAAACTGTGTGACAGCCCTGGCAAGGCTGTGGTACTGGAAAACCAGATGTAATGCAGTACTTTAGCCTGTGTCTCAAATGGAGTACTTCTAAAGTGTGCTAGCCATTTTTGGTGTAAGTCGTATGTTATCGCTAGAAAACAGATTATAGTGGAAGATACTACAGCTGCCAAAATTCTGCCTATCCCTGCTCTGCCCATAAATGCGCAGTTTGTTAGATGCTGTTGTGAAGTTTGTGGAACCATGGCAGAAATGCTGTTCAATAGGGCTGGAAGCTGATTCCTTTCAGAGTCAGAGTAATCAGAGTCGACTCTAAAATTTCTGGCACCGCCCTGATGTTCAATTCCGAATTTTTTTTAATCAGAATATGATCATTTAGAGGGTTCTATACATTTCAAATGATATTTTTGTTGTTAAAACTACACAGACTGGCTGTAGTTTCTTTGTCACATATTCAAGCCTAGATTCTATTAGGGATTTTTGTGGACATAAAACTTATATAACCTGACAACAGTTTGCTACATCATTTGAAGTGTGGATTGTTTGAAGCGTGGAACATTACACACTGTTTGCATTTATTGGCTGGTATAAGCTGCAGTGAAATTTTCAAAATTAATAATGTGTTTTAAATGTCTTTCTTCCATTAATAACTGGATTTATATGCAGGATTTGTGTTGGGCTATTTACTACAGCTAATAATTTCAAGTTGTTATAATGGTAACTAGGCAGGTTAGCTAACATTAGCTAACTGCTAACCTAGCTGTTGTTCAGTGATGTACCATGTAATAATTTGTGGCTTCTGGTTAGTGCAAAATGTTAGTGCGGTTAAACTCTATCCCAATGTTTCCAAAATACATCAGAGCATCATAGTATTACACAATATTTAAGTTAGCATTAATAAACTTTACCCCATGCTTATGGGTACTCTATGTTAAAAAAGGTTTTACAAAAGTCTTAGCCTCTTTTGACTGCTTTATTCTGCTGTGCTTAAAATTACAAAAGGGAACCTTATACAGTTTTCTAAATGACCAGAAAGAAAGTCATCTTTTAAAGTATTTTAAACTGACCCTAAGCTCACAGCAAATGGTATATGTAGCAGTTACCTGTATTTTGGCCTCCTATCAGTATTACTAAAACTAAACACTTCAGCTAAAGCTAAAACTCAGTACAGCAGTATTGGTATGCTGATATAAAGACGACATGTCATTCAGTACTAGTGTTTGATTTGAGATGATTCAGTAATCCTGGCACTAGATAGTGAAATGCATAGTGTAAAGGGCGTAAATATAGTGTATACAGCACAAAGACACAGCGTTCATGTAGAACATTTAAAACATGAGAGCTATTTACTGTAAATTTATTTGGTGTTAAAATGGATTTATCCTGGCTGTTTTAAAAAGGAGTTCAACAGATTTTGTACGATTTCTGCATAATTCAATCATTGAGATGTAAAAAAAAAGTTACTCAAAAAAGTGGTTTAATTTGAAATTTTGTGAGAAACTTACATACTTGCAATGAGGTTGATAAAAAACAGTAATCGCCATTTCTACAAATCTTATTCATTTTTATATGTAATGTTGATAATGATAAAACAGTGAAAGGATAACTTTTCTTTGGGTATTATTTGTCCTGTATACATCTCTTTGCCATTAATTTATATATAAAAAAATATTTTAGCCAAAACTTTCTCTCAAGACTGTCACAAAATAGTATCTCAGGCATCGGGCAGTGTATTACTAACCGTTTCTGTGATGTAGCATTTAGACGTTTGGTTCCTATCACCGCCACTGTAAACAACTCTGACTCTTCAAGTTTCTCTAGAACAGAGTCTCTCATTCCAAACCCCTCAGAATGATTTTGTTTACATCTTAACCATTTAATTATGCAGAATTTTTAAAAATTCTATGGAATTCCTGTTCAAATGAACTAGTTCATGTAAGATGCATTACTATTCTGTTAAGTTCCTATTTGACATTCTGCGAAAGGCAGCCAGGATACTTACATTTTTAAGTTAAAACACCCTTTTTGACAGTGTAGAGGATTGGAAAGATTTCTTTGGGGGTGTGGGGGTGCCTCGTGGTCTTATGCTTAAAAGACTCTCTTTAATTTGTAAATGGCAAAGAAATCTCACTTTAGAAATGTGTTTCTTGGAAGTGAGAGCATTGCTAAAACAAATGGACAGCCCCTGAGGAGCTCATAGTTTCTGATTTGAACAAATGCCCAAGAGTGTGTGTGTGCATATGTAAGGAACACTTTCAGACTGACAGGAAAAGAGCGGCAGTTTGAGTGTATAAGCTTAAGTGCTAAAAAGAGCCACGTAATTTAGTACTTTTTAGCAATACACAGCTGATTCATCAAATGACTGCGAAACTGCTCACAGTTAATGAATCACCCTCACTGAAAAACAGCACCATATTCTTTCTGTCAGGATAACATTTTCAATCACTTTCATCTTCTTTACTAACATCATCTCTCTTTCTGTTTATTTTTGATTCTTTTCCTTCACTCTCTCTATCTCTATGCAGATTTCAGCCACTAAAACAGACCCTGATCTGGGCTTCATGATCCAGTCATGCTTCATCTCTCCAGACTCCAACCCTTTGGTACAGTCTGTGTATGTGATCATAGAGAACATCTGTCCTACTGATGACTCGGTGCTGTATTACCCTCAGAAAGTGGACTTCCCTGTGCCTCACGCTCAAATGGACAGAAAGCGCTTCAGCTTCACCTTCAAGTCAAAGTTAAATGTCTCAGTGCTCTTCCTGCACTGTGAGATGGCCCTCTGCTCCAAGATACCAACCAGCCACCAGGGACTGCCAGAGGTATAGAGCTCTTCTCTCTCTTCTCTCTCTTCTCTTCTCTTCTCTTCTCTTCTCTTCTCTTCTCATTCTTTCTTTTTCTCTTTTCTTGTCTTGTCTTCTCATTCTTTTGCTTCTTCTCTTCTCTTCTCTTCTCTTCACTTCTCGTCTTCTCTTCTTGTTCTTTCTGCTTCTTCTCTGCTTTTCTCTTCACTTCTCTTGTCTTCTCTTCTCGTTCTTTCTGCTTCTCTTCTCTTCTCTTCTCTTCTCTTCTCTTCTCATTATTTTTGCCTTTTCTCTACTCTTCTCTTTTCATTTCTTCTCATTCTTTCTGGTCTTCTTTTCTCATTATTTCTTCTCTTCTCTTCTTATTCTGTCTGCTTTTTTATTTCTCTTCTCTTCTCGTTCTTCTCTTCTCATTCTTTCTGCTTCTTCTCTTCTCTTTTCTCTTCTCTTCTCTTCTCTTCTCTTCAAACTTAGATTGTATTTGCTTACTAGTCTTACTTAATTTTAAACTAAAACGGTCAAGTGTAGTGTTAAATCACAGTTTAATGTGCAGTTTGTAGCTTATGATAAATACCTGGACATCCTCCTTTCATGACCTTTCATAGGGAGAGCGTAAAGGCTTCTTCTGTTACATTCTGCCTACTTGACTATTCCATTCACTCTGAACGTTTGTGTTTCAATTCATGACCTTGGCACTGGTCAGCCTGCACCAGCTGTCAGCATCCGTCCACTCTTCACAAGAGCAGGATGTGTAAATCTCCCTCAGCGTTACCGGGCAACCATCCACACAGCCAAACAAAGTTTTTCTCCAGGCTTTTCTCTCTATATTCCTCCATTCCTCCCTCCTTCAATGTCCTCCCAGTCATCCCTCTCTTAATTCCCCCTTCACTCCTTTATCAGTGCCTTACATGCAGAGTGTGTGTTCTCTGTCTTATGGCTAACCTCACAGCGCAGCTGACTCAGGTCAACCTTGCTGAGAGCATACACTGAAAAAAATGAAGCACTGCATTCATTGATTCAAATGTGAACACATAAAGTTTTACTAACTTTTCACAATAATTATGTTGATGTAATCTGTTTCATTCATGTGGATATTTAGTACACATTTGAAGCAAGTACACTGTGAAAAATGAAAAGTCAGGCCAGCTTGAAATTTACTTTGCACATAAACTTTCTCAACTTATATTTTATTGAAAAGTGCCAACATAACATTTTGGTAGTGCATCTTAATTAGGTCTCTAAAATACAGTTTTGAGTTAAGCTTACTCAAAAAATGATTTGAAGTAGCTCTTTAATTTGTTGTTTTTGCTCAACTTCTCCTCCAGTTTAGTCATTGCCATTTCTCATACACAGTCTATGACTTCCTTTATCACTCAGTGACACCCCTTGCTGACAAAAATATAGTATCATATCATATCATAATTGAAGGCATTTACACGGTACAAGTCATGATATAGCAAAAAATAATTGCTATCAATAAATCAATAAAATAAGATAATGGACTGACTCCAGTGAGTTACTTACTAAACATGTTATGCAGTTAATAGACACTGGATGTTGTTGTTTACAGGCTCTTAAATTAGTTTAAATCTGATATTTATATAATACTTGTAATTGATTCAGGTTTCTGTAATATCTGATATGACCTGTGATATAAGGTATTGCTCACCCCTAGAACAGCATGGTGTATAAACATCTACGTGTGTGTTCTGATCAAAGAGGATGTTTTTACTTTGCTATAGGACAAAGAGCTGTGACGATCCGGATGGCTTTAATAGTCTTTTTTCCTTTAATACTCTCTGCTTTTATGAAACATATGAAACAGTGAAAACATTCTGCAGTAAACCTCACAAAGGCTTTTCATGCTTATGTGTTCATGTTTTTAATCTGACAGTCTGGTTCTGCTAAAAGGACCCTACTTCAAACATAAGAAAAAATCAATTTCTGGTCTGTTTTACAGCATGTGGTGCTTTTTATCTTCTAGTGCCCATATGCCACTAAACACTTGACTGTTTTCTTATCTTCTTTTCTCCTCTCTTCTCTTCTTTTTTCTTTTTTTCTATTTAATTTTTATCGTAAGGTGTCCCTATGCCTGCTGATTGCAGCAAGATCCTGTTGTAATGCTCCTCTTTCTCTTTCTGCAGTGTATGCTCCCAGATGAAGCGTGCACATCCGTCAGCTTGGACACCATTATCAAAATGATGATGAACACCAAAACCTCCACCAAACCACTGGTGGTTGTCTTAGACAGAAATGACAGTGGAAATCACATCAATCCTGAGGATAAAAGCACAAAAACACCTGGTAAGACTCCTTCAGATCCTGCTTGGGCTGGTCAATCCTTAATTAAGTTAAATCAGGGGTGCAGCTGGTGAAATTGAACAAATCCATACAACTGTTGGGGCTGCGTTCGTCTAACCACCTCACAACATAGCATAACTTCACTAAAAACAAGATTTTTTTTTTTTTACTATTTTACAGTGTTAGTGTTTACTTGTGTTTATTCTAGTCTCACATAGTGTTTTGCACAAGCAAAAACACACTTACTGCCCAGAGAAGTAGCCTTAACCCTTTAAGGCTGATGCAAATATATGGCTGTTTCTGCCATTTAATCTGATGTTCTCTTTTAATGACACACATTTTCAGTGCTGTTGTTACATTTATTTGATATTTGGTCTAACAAAGATGAAAATATGTAGGTTTTAATATAGTTTCTCTCACAAGTTACATTTCTGAATAAACAAACATAAATAGCAATATAAATCACACACCAGGTGAGTTTTATTGTTACTCTGGTTAGATAAAACAACCATAAATGCTGCCTAATCTGGACTGCACTCTGAATAAGTTGATGCGTTCACTCAGAAACAAATCATATCCAATAATAAAGGCAGCTGCATGCATCTTTTGTGCAGCAATAGGAAAACTGTCACCTTTGATATCTTTCACTATGGCTAGTGTTGACATGGTATTGTAACTCCTCCAAAGACTCTCAATGCATCGCTGGTGAAATGCTTGGTCGACAAGTAAAAAAACTAATAATAATAAACGATCTTGCCGTGTCTAACACTTTGTGTTGCACTGATACTGATACTGTAACAGTATCAGACCTGATACTGGCTCCTAAACACAATATTGTTGTTGACAGTAGAGAATACTGATACCGTGAAAAAATCACTAGTGCATGATACTTGCATGCACCGGTAGATGGGCAAAAGTGGTCCCTATTTTATGCTGTTACTTTGAATAACAGGGTTCTAAAATGGCACTAGTTTGTAGGGTTATTCTAGAGAGATAACACCTTAACCTTCAGTAAGGTATAGACTTTAGCAATTACCTATCACATCTCATATTGTCATATTTATGGTAGAGGAGGTGAGACACCATATAGGGATGTGTATATCAGTGTGTGTGTGTGTGTGTGTGCGTGCGTGTGTGTGTGTGTGTGTGTGCGTGTGTGTGTGTGTGTATGTGTGTGTGAATAGGGTGCACTCAGATCACACACAGTTCCTATCATGTCATGCTTTGTGGCACATTATCCCATCTGGAGTCTGTTAGTTTGTGGCAGCATTATCATATGTGTGTGTGGAATACTGTGTGTGGTTTGTGTGTGTGTGTGTGTGTGTGTGTGTGTAACTCATTACAGCAGAAGAGCAGGGGGCCCCTATGTGTGTACGTTTGTGTGTGGTTCACTGGAGCAGTGGAACAAGGCCATGTGCTTGTGTATGTATACAGTCGAATGCAAAAGTTTAGGCGACCGGGTTCTCTTAGGCTTTGTGGATTTACTAAGTGAAAAGTTAACACATCCTCTACAGAGAACACACTTCTGCACATGTTAACACACCATCACTGTTGAATTTAACATATTGGAGAAAATAAAACATAAAATGTGGCTTGTGTGAAAGTTGTGTATGTTTGTAAAAGTAAATTTTGTTTTCTTTTTCTCAGTATGTTAAACTGCAGAGGATGTGTTAATGTATTCTGTGGAGCAGGACCTGTAGGACAGTTTGTGTGAGTGTGGGTGTGTTTATGTGTATAGTCCATACTGTGAGTGTGTATGTATACAGTACATGGTGTGTGGTGTGTGTGTACCATGTAGAGCTGCTACAAATGATTACTTCCAAAATCTGTTCATCTACCAGCTATTTCTTTTCGATTTGTTGGCTAATCTAACCATTATGTTTCCGTTTCCATGACAAATAGATGTACATAATGGCACAAGAATTTGAAAATTCACCATCTAAATGTTCAATTGCTTTACATTACTGTTTTCTAAGATGAAACTGTTTAACTTATTATCTTTCCTGTTTTCTCGACTCACACATTTAATCATTTATCTTGTCCTCTTCTCACTTTTTCTAGTATAATTCTGAGTGGAACATTTCTGCCTAGATACTAAAGGTATCTGTGTTAAACGTTACTGTGTTTATGGCTGGCATGAACGACTGGCACATTTGTGATTTTACAACTTTCTATTTTACCGATTTTAAATGTTAACACAACTTCATCGCTCTGAAAGCTAGAGATGCACAGATACCACTCTTTCCCTACTGATATGATACCTGATCCGTACTGGCCGATACTGAGTACCGATACTGATACTAACTCTAACCTAACTCACATTTAAGTCCTGATATTTGTACAGTTACATTTTTAAAATATGTTATTTTGGTAAAGTCTATGTTTTGCATCACAAATAAAACACACTCAGCTGGGCTAGATGGCATTTACTTATTGGGTTATGTTTAATAGATGCATAAGAAAACTTATTTTTGTTTATTTACTGTATGTATTTAGTATTTACTATTATATAATTAGTAATAAAAGCATGTATAATAACTTAAGTAAATGTGAAATATCTTTATTGTGCAGAACAGTTAAAAACAAAACTGAACAGTTAACAGATAAACCTGTGGTGTTTACACATCAGCACACAGCAGCTTCTCTGGCTCAAAAACGTCCAAATATCTCAAATCATTTGCTCATAAGTGCTTGTTCATTCATGCTGCATCCCTGAGCGTCATTTCAGTAAATATCACCGTCGTTTACGCTATCGGTATTAGTGACTTGCAGTGTTATTTCTGGCTTGGTTGAAGTGACGGCCCTCGAGTCGCTGCTGCTGAGTGATACAGCTGACCGACAGAGGCACACCGCAGGTGGGGCTAGTAGACGCACAGGCCTGGGTTGCTATGCTAAAGGCTAAATTGTGGCTAAATGCTATCATTATCCTCAGAGCCTGGCGGTTCCTTCCACTCTCTCAGTAACTCAGACTGTAAGTGACCACACAGCGACAGACGAGCCATTCAGGACGCTGCGTTTGGCTCCGTTAGTGTCTTTTTTCTCACCAAATGCTGCTATTACAGATTCTGCCATGAGAATTTTTATAATGCTGCATGTTAGCCCACACCACTGATGAGTTGTTAAGTTTTGTCTACTGGCCCGTATGTATGCATCAGAACCTGCTCCGTGGTATCGGTCATATGTATCTGTATTCCCATCACCGATGCCGATACTGCATTTAAGTGCCAGTATTGGAGCCCATACAGTATCGGTATCGGTGCAACACTACTGAAAGCATCCTAAAACAGATTTGGTGCTGTACCGCTGCTTTATATTTGCTGCTGCTGTCATTGACAGGTTTATCTGTGCTACAAACGATTTGTTTGTTATCATTTAACGAAATGACAGAAGCCATATTACCCCCCACTGTTTATACAGAGAGTATGGAATTCTGTATACTGTTTGTTTGTGTGTGCGTACTGCATACTGTGTGTGGCTGATTAAAGCTATAGATGCCGTCATGTCCCAGTCAGTCTTAAGGAACAATGTGCGTGTGTGGCTGATTAGAGTGAGGGGCCATAGATGCCGTTATGTCTCAGTCAGTTTTTAAGAAACGGAAAAAGCGCGGTGTTCCAGCACTGGCCTGCAGTTGTTTTCATTTAACCATCCTCTGAGACCTCCCATTCCCGGCACAGAAAGAGAGGGAGGGGGAGAGAGAGGGTGGAAAGGAAAGAGGGAGTGCGTATGTTGGGTTGGGGAGGGCAGGCGGATAAAGCAGCCCTAATGTGATATATACTCATGTACTTTTCTTTACGCCTATTAAGCAGTCTGCCAGTAAAATATCATCACTGTCTTGTCAAACTGACTGTCTGATGATGAAAGGACCAAGAGAAAAGGCCCAAAGTGAATCTCATCACTTTAACATGTATTAAAAGTTTTCCATTGTTTTTTATTAGGCTACAGCAGGGTCCTAAAGCCTGAGACCACATTGAAAATCTAGGATTTTTCATTTAAACCTGGAAATAAACAGGTTGTAGCTTTAGAGGAGAAGAAATACTCAAGATTCTGCACTATTTCTAGGTCACTATTTAAATGTAAGCAAATTTGTGACATTGACCATGCTAACGCTTAAGTTCAAAACTAGATTTTTTTAATCTCATCTCTTGCATTGAAACTTGTATTCAGACAATTTGATCTACTCATTAGAGGCCTTTGTACAAACTTGATTAAGCAAAAGGGAGATGTGACCCAATACTTTAAGAAATTTACCAAGAAATATTTAATTTACTTTTTTACTAATTGTTTTACTGATAATATAATTCATAAAGAAAAATGTATTTAATGAGAAAAGAATGCTAAATAACACCTTCTAATTAATGAATTTAGTTACTTTAAGGTGCACCCATTGCTGACACAGGTGCTCAGTTGCACACGTAGCTTTTACAGTATTCATAGAAAGTATTGCCAGAATATGACACTCTGCAGCAGCTGCACATGAGCCAAGGATCGTTGTGCCCAATGCCAAATGTCAGCCAAAGGGGTATAAAGTCCCCCCAGCATTGCAGTAGAACTGCGATGCGTAATGATGGAGCTTCATCCAGTACCTTGGGGATGAGTTTGGGTGGCATTTGCGATCCAGGACTAATCATCCAGCATCAGTAAATGACCTCACTAATGCTCTTGTGGCTGAATCCAAACAAATCCTCGCAGCAATGTTCCAAAGCCTTCCTAGAAGAGTAAAGGCTGTTAATGCAGCACAGGTGGCACAATTCCCCTATTAATACCCTTGATTTTAGAAGAAACATTGATTGACCAGGTGTCTACGGTCTTTTGGACATGTAATGGGTCATTTTGGAGAAGTGAGGTTTTTGTTTCTACAGGAACGATATGTGTGTAAAAGGCTAAAACACCGGAGGGTATCTGGGTGGTGGTTGAACATCATATTTTACTAAAATTATCTAATCTGAGCCTGACTGACCTCATGAGAGCTTGTTTTCTGCTCTTGGCCCAGCTACACCCTGTTA